ACACCCTCTCAACACTTCTTCATCTCCGAAAATGCATTCCCAAAGAACCCTCTCGAGTCACTCTGTATTCCTCATTCCTTGGGATACTCCTGCGAACAACCCATTCAAAGCAAAAGTATTTCATATCATGAAGGTTGAAAGCAAGAGTATCTCATATCATGCTTTCTCCCTGTCCTTTCTCCAGCCAGCACCTGCTCTCGAGTACTCATCATCTTATGTTTCCGCTTCGTCTCTCACGTATAAGGGAAGTGAAGATGATACCTCGAAGCATGTGGAGACAACGTGCTGATTCATCCTCAACTAAGGACAAGGAGAAAGAGAGCAAGAGGTGGGCACTTGGAAAGATTGAAGAAAGAAACAGACCAATACCTCTACCTCGTGCCTGCCCGCCATGCAGAGGAAACAAGCAGAGAAGAATGCAGCTTGCGCAATCATCCCAGCGGAAGGAGTCTGAGATGAAGAACAAGAGAAGCTGCCACATCTGCTTGGAGAACAAATAAGGAACTGCAACATTCCCAAAGAGCAAAGCTCCGCCGTACAATATCATCAAATCATCACTTGCAAGTAAAAGCTAAGTGTCACCCCGTTCAAGAGGAAAGCTGTGGAAAGTCAACAAGCACGACTAATGATTACTTATTAGTTTTATTCATTATCTTTTATCGTAATTTTCAATTTTTCGTTTGCAATTTTGTTTTAATTAATTTTCTTGCGTACTTAACTGAATTATTTCTTTTCTTTGCAGGAACTTTTGGTTATTTCCACCCTTGAAGTTGATTGCAGAATTTTAGCTTGGGGGTCATCGCTTGATTTTACTGCAAATTAGGGAAGTTTTCAGTCCAATTGCTTTATTTTGTTTCTTATTATTTATTTATTTTATTTTATTTTTATTTGCGTTATAGTGTTTTCTGACATTGGGGACAATGTCAAGTTTAAGTGTGGGGGTAGAAATCTCCAGAATTTCATTTGTTTCTGTGTTGTTGTTTTTTGTGTTCTTAATTAGTTTTGTTTTCTTTTAAAAAAAAAATAAAAAAAAAAAACTGTGTTGTTGTTTTTTTGTGTTCTTAATTAGTTTTGTTTTCTTTTAAAAAAAAAAAAAAAATTTAAATTTAAAAAATTTCGGAAAATTTAAAAATCCAAAAATATTGTCTTGTTTCCCTTATTGTTTTGAATTAGATTTTTGTTAGCTTCCCGACCCAATGATATAATTGGATCAAATTTGAACCATGATCATCAAGAACTTAGTTAACATGTGTTTTGTGAAATTCCTAATTCTCTTGTTAGTTTTGTACATGTTTGATCATCTTTGAAAAACCAAATGCACATAGCCTTGTTGATGTGAAACTAAAGCATGACTTAAAGCTTCATATGTGAATTTAGTGACCATATACATCCTATGTGAGTTTTTGAGCCTATTGAAAGTGTGTGCATTTTTCATACACTCCTATTCTTTTCATGTGTGATGAACTTATGTGAGATACATCTCTAGAACTTGCGTAATGATCTTTCGAAATGTTTGTCATTGATTGCATGAACTTGGAAATGATAGAGGCATTAGGTTTACCACCATGGCCCAAATAACCATGTTTCCCAAAGAAAAATGATATCATTAGATTGCCAATTTGAGCCGTGTATGTTGAGCCTTTTATTTCTTATCACCAGATATGTCTACCCTTATGCCTGAAACATTTTTCCTTACCCTTTCCAAGCGAGCAATGCGAGATTGTCCTATGAGATACGTTTGTGAAGTACTTTGAAGGTGTTTGGCAAAAGAATAAGTGTGGGGGTATTTCATGTTTGTATTTAAAAAAAAAAAAAAAAAAAAAAAAAAAAAAAAAGAAAAAGAAAAAGAAAGATTGTATACAAAGAAAATAAAAAGTTTTTAAAGTTTCAGTTTAAGGGTGTGGTTGGAGGTGCGAGAAGAATCGCGGGAAAGCTTGAGTTCTTATAAATCTAAACAAAAGAATTGCTTGCAATGTAGCTTGGAACTTGTGTTTTCCTATTCTTCCGTTTCAATAACCCTATCCCTAAGCCTCATTACGTCCAATAAAAGTCCTCTTGATTTAAGTTTTGCAATTATGATTGTGGAGATGAGATCTTTATGCAAGCTTATGGTAGAAATTTCACATTTGATTCTTTGAGCGAAACACATTAAAACTAAACACATGTGTGATTGAGTGAATATTCAGTGAGAAGGTCGCTAGTTTGCATATGATGATTTTAAAATAAAAACTTGAAATTGCATTAGCATGGCTATCTCACACACTACACTTCAAGGATGATTCAAAGATTACTGCTAATATTTGAATAAGAAAGATGAACTTGAATTAGTTTGTTTGATGCTTGCTATGGTTCTTGATGATTTGTTTTCTTAAAATGAAATTCTATGAGGGTCACATAGAGGGAAGCTAATGTTTTTCTTGTTATTACTTTTTCATGTTTTCTTTGTTTTGCTCGAGGACTAGCAAAAGTTAAGTGTGGGGGTATTTGATCGGATCATATTTATATATATTTTTACTTCGAATTCACTCGTCTTTTCTTAGTTAGTTCCTTATATTTTTGAGCTATTTATGTTATTTTTGTGTTTATAGGATTTGTTATGCAAAGAAAATAAAAATAGCATAAATGAGTTTTAAATAATAAACAGAAAGAATATTGATTTTATTTTTGGATTGGGTTTTATTTTGGTTTATTTTATATGCATTGAATTGATTGTTTCATAGAATATTGGTTTTGGATTTGTTACTTGAATTTGTTCTTAATTCCGAAACTGCTACTAATTTAGAGTTTATGATACAAATCAATTTTGTATTATATTGTGAAAGGAGAATCCAAGAAGGTAGGCTGCCAGCGGAAGAAAAGTAAAAGGTCAGAAAAGAAAAATAAGGAGACAGCTGGGGGAATAATTTTGGAACAAGAGGAGAGATAGAAGGGATTGATGCGGGCCCTTGCAGGTGGAAAGCTGTGAAGACCGACAGAATTGAGGGCAGTGAGGCAGCCAGGAGAAAAAGGAAAATAAAATAAGGGAATCCAAGAGAGAAAAACGTGCAGGACTGATGAAGTAAATAAAAAAGAGAGGAAATGGGCGCGGAAAAAGGCAGCTGCCTTTGGGCAGCGCTAGGAAATAGAATAGGAAAAACAAAGAGACAGAGAAGAGTGGAAATCCGTGAGGAGAGGGGGGGGAGCTGCCTTTGGGCAGCTCGCAGACAGACGCAGCGGAACAGAAAAATAATTGGGGGAGAGAAGAGACTGACGTGGGCGCAAGAAGGGAGCACGGGAAGGAAAGAAGACAGTACGGGGAGAGAGGAAAGGAAAAGCAGGAAACGGTGAGGCGCAGCGAGAGGTCAGGAGGTCAGGAGGTCAGCACGCAGAAAGGAAAGAAAATAAGAGGCCAGTGGCACAGTAGGCGCAGGAAAGAGGAGGAGAGAGAGTGGCGACGGGACACGGGACTGAGGGCAGAGACCAGCAGAAATGGGAGCAACACAGAGAAAAGTTTCACTCCATTTTTCTTGGTTTTATCTTCTCAAACTCATGTTTAATTTTTGGTTTAATTTTAGAATAATGCGTAGCTAAATTTATTTTTGGCTAGAGGTTAATTCAAAGCCATGAATATATTTGTAATATGAATTGATTACCTTCGGTTGTGATTTCATAAGTTGTGATTTCAAATTGACTTATCTGTTCGTATAAAAACTGATTTGTGTATGTTGGTTGAGAGTGCACGCTTAATTTACATGCATGAATTTGATGCTAGAATATAAGTGAATTTCACCTAATCGTTATGAACTTATTTTCACAAGTAGTAAAGGTTGCTAGTCACAATCACGTTAAGTAAATTCTTGGCAAGAGTATCATGCTTTTCATAGTTACGAATGCCTCGTCAATGCTTATAGTTTTCACAAAGTTTAATGATCTTTGATTGTATCTCTATTGTGCTTTTCACGTAGGGGACTTTTTGAAGAATGTTTTGAATTGTTGTATGCGTTTTCCCGTCCAATTCAATAACTTAAGGAAAACTTGAAGATTAAAAAAGTGCTGTTCACGGTTAATCTGGAGTATTGAAATTCACAATTTATTGAAAGAACAACTGAAAATCAATTTAGGTTGCATATGTGTCATGTGTGGAGAAGAACCCTCTAGCTAGTCTGTCATTTATCATTTTACCTTAATTTTTATGTTTTTGTCAATTCTGTAATTTAATTAAGTTTAATTTACTTTTCATCAAAACCAAACACCCATCCATTATTAAATTATATTATTTAGTTAGTTTGCTTTATTGTTAGTCTTTTAATTTAATTTCCGTCCATTTCAGTTCCTAGTGTTTAATTTAATTGTTTTCATTGTTTTGAGTCATTTTAAGTGTGTTTCGAGTTATTAGAGTTTTTAGCCTAATTTTGTGTCCTTGAGTCTTATTTAATATTTTTAAATTAATTTAGAATAGATTAGCAATCCCTCCTAATCCCCGGCCTAGAACGATACCCTACTTACATCTATACTACAATTGTCAAAAAGAGGGTTTAATTTGTGTGTTAAGTAATTTCTCGCATCATACAACGGGCTTTTCGTTAAAACTCCCAAATAAAAAAGGTGATCTTGTTAATATATCTCACATCAACTGTATTTATAAGAAAATAAGAGTTTAAATATCTTAACTCCACTCCAACTAATACCAAGTCATTTTGATATAAAACCTCACACATAACAAATTTTTCAGGTGGTAATTACCAAGCTCGGGATAATATTAATGTTGTTAGAAGTAGGCCTTTGACCCGTCTTTCTGATATTTAATTTGACAAAACCATGATTTAATTCCCTATAGTTTGGATCAAGTTTTACTTTATAGTCTATCAAGTTTCATTAGTCCCTGTAACAGGTTTGACACACATGTAAGGTGTATTGCACTTGTTGACAAATTCAATAAAATTTAAAACGTAGAAACCAAAGTGAAACTTCGTCCAAACGGCAAGAAACTAAATAAAGTAACAGGACATTACGTTGTCACATAAAATAACACAAAATTACTTATTTTCCATGACATTGTCAACCAAAGGGTTACATATAAAAAGGAGATTACTACGAAAAGAGGCTTACGAAATCAGATATTCAAGATGCCTCTAAAACACTGACCAAACAAATGTCTGCTTTTATCCTCACCTATAAAAAAAACCCTAGGGGACACAAAGGGATGAGTTGCATTTCGCAAACTCCTTGAAGGAAAAAAAAAAAAGCTCGTAGACAAGCTGTGAGATAACCTGCTTCAACAGTTGGGTAAATAAGCATGGTAAACAAGTTAACCATGCAAAAAAGGTGATGTGAAAAAACCCTCCTGCAAAATAATCTGACAGCAAACAAGCTTGAAGGTAACTTGGTGAAGGATTGCAGGCCTTGTAAACATAAATTCTTAAAAAGGGTACTTAAACTTGGTCTGGTTGCATATTTGAGGAAATACTCCTATTTATTCTGAAGCTTCTGCAGCAAAGAACATATCGAAAGCCGCACGTAGATTCTGTTCACATGAACAGATTGAAAGCTGTGCGTAGATTCTTGACGAGATCCTGCACCGAGAGACTGAACTCCGCTTCCATCTGCCAAAGATCAAGATATTGTTTCAAAAATGACTTTAGATTAAAACTAGGGAAGTGATTTCCACACACCAATTTTATCCCCCAACACGCCCTTGTTTATTTCTACTTTTTGGATTGGATAAAAAAAGAGTCTAAGGGACATAAATAAATATTAGTTTGTAGAAGGAGAGATGAGCGTGCGGAAATCATTTCCATTGGAAATATTACGAAGCAACAAATTTGATTCATGCAATTGAGAAGGAAACTTACCTGAGCAATAATGGTAACATCAAGAGCACAGCTCCCAAATGTCATGACACTACTATTGATGAATTTTAATTGGAGCTTCTCAACCTCCGATATTGTTTTCTCCACAACTCCTTTCCTTTTCTCACAGTGGATTCTTATCAAGACATTGTTGTCACAGAACCTTGCTTCGATTTCAGGTAGTGTTGCGTCAAACGGGCCCGTGGAGTTGTTTTCGTTTGAGGAAGTTTTGTCGCCATTGGCAAAGAGCTGTGTTTTCTTCACAAACACGACCGATTCCATGTTTTTGTTTCTCGTATGTTCCTCAAGTGTCTTTACCTTGTCCTGCAGTTGTTTGATGTACTTGATTGAATCTCCCAGAACAGAAGCCTTGTCCATCTGTCATAGCATGAAGAATGACTCATGATTAGAAACGCTATTCAGCTGGTAAAAAAATCCAAATTTCAAAACTGATACCATCCCAAAACCTACTGGTTGCTTGGAGTAAAAACGAGACAATCAAATGTGAAAGAATGCCTTGAATAAAATCTGCAGTGAATTGACAGATAGAGGACATAATTTCTGTTACCTTCTTTAGGCCAGGAATGAGTGCAGATAAAGCTACGAACCGCTGGCTGAGCTTCTCTCTGCGCTTCCTTTCTGCGATAATATGATCTTGAGTTGCTGAAAGACGAGGGTTTGTGCTGTTCCTATTTGTTCCCTGACTGGCCTTAAATAAACAATTTTGGTTTCCAAATGAACCTTGAGAAAGCAATATATCAGAAGGGAGAGTGTTGGTGCTCTTTGAACACACTGCTGCTGCCTCCTCCTTAGGCTTAAGCACCACCATTTGGTTTCCGTGATTAGAATTGACGAACGAAAGAATGTTTGGTGAGGAAGCAACTTGTGGATTCAATACAAGATGATCGGTTTTGCATGAAGTCCATCCATCGGTTTTGAGCTGCTTCGCTGGTCTATCAATACCAGTATGAGAATTATCGATAGGAGTTTTGAGGTTGAAAGTTGGGTGGAAGTGAGAGTGTTGTAAATTATCTCCAATTGCAGCTGCTAGTGGGAGCATACCGAGCTCATCCAAAGAGTTCATGTACTGCCACTGGTTGATGAAGAAGGGATCTTCCATTCCCTGTAAGTTAAAACAATTTCTTTCTTTATTATCAAATTAAATAGACAATATTCATCAAAATAATCTGTTTCGAACAAGTCCAAAACATTAATATTAATACAATTTCAAATTATTAATTATGTGCCAAATAATCCTTGAATTTTTACACATAAAAAGGCAGAAGCTTTGTTGCATATTTTTATCTTTGTCCATAAGTAAAAGACACCAAGGGTTTCTGCAGAATTAATCGTCTTACCAGCTCAGATAATCCTCCTCTTGATGAAATCTCCATTAAATTTCTTCTTTTTCTTGGTGACCTAGAGCTCAAGGGAGGTTCCTGGAAAAAACAAAATCATTGTAACAGGTTACTGGCCTCGTACAAAACAATCCGCTCAACGTGTTCTATTAGAATGCAAGTATCAACAATTGGTAAAAGAAAAAATTAAAAGAAGCCGAAAATGTTTTAAGCACGTATGCAATACTTCCATCTCTAATGTGGGATCTCTTAACAGACTCCCTTTCGGTACAAAATATGCAAATCAAAACTCTAAAATTGTGCAAGAAAAAACAACCCTAAACTTTGGAAGAAGAAGCTGAATCATACGACAAATATTTAGTGAATAGTATTAGAAGTAAGAAAGCTTATTCTCGAACAATTAATGACCAAAGCTTATTCTTCTTGCAAGTGACTCTCTCTCCCTTAGAGATCGTACAAGACCTTGACCCGTAGCCTCAAGCTTTTATAGCTCTTGCTAAGTTCTTGTGTAGTTCATCTGTCTGTACCTCACCTTTGAACTCTCTCTCTCTCTCTCTCTCTTATAGGTAGCAAGATGTGATTACTAATGTTCCCATTATTATTCGAAGTTTGTACTATTGTTCCTCGTGAATTTGTTTGAATGCTAACTATAGCTAGCAAGCAAATTAGATTATTAATTTGTTTAATGCTAAATTATGGATTAAATATAGAAATTAACTAGAAATCCAATTTTGTTGCTTTGTGGACTTCTAGCAGGATCCTTCACCAACTATCTAGCCATTGAAATTTTAATTCAAGCAGTTGGCAATGAAGCAACAACAATATTAGAATTTAGACATGTGGTCCTCCACCATGTCCCCCTTATCACCAAAGCCAACCTTGCATAGTTACATCAACAATTATTCTTTTTTTTTTTTCACATTCAAATTCAAAGGCAATGAGTGATTAATATATTAGAGACATCAATTTATTACACATTTTTTAGTTATTTAACGATATTAATTTTTTTTTAGTCCGAACATTAAAAAAATAATAATAATAAAAGACGTGTTACATCAGTTGATATCTTAAAACTCGATAAAGTAACTTAATCTATTTAGTACCGTTAGTGATTAAATTGTAATCTAACAAATAAAACGTTATCACATCAATTAGCATCTTAATATCAAAAGAAATAATTTCATATTTTGGGTTATCTAAATGAACTTAGCGATTAAATCAGTCTACTATTGTCCATGTGAGTTCAGATGTGTCATCTGGTGGTAGGTTTGGAAAGTAATTTTAACAGGGCTAATGATGTTGACTGTGTTTTGGAACCTTCCCTTGAGTCTTGGGTCCTGGCTACTTTATGGGTTTATTGTTAGGCCGACATGTTCCGTCAAACCGGCTCATAAAGAGAGGTTGGCTCATATGTGATCATGACTAAACTGATTCACTTCCTTATTCTAATTTCTAAACTACATTAATAAAATTCTTTTTATCAATTAAAAGAGGATAAAAATATAATTTTATCTTCTACCATAAAACAAAATCATTGGCAGTAAAAAAAATTCACAAGAATTAAATTTTTGTTGTAAACATTCCTAGTTTAAGTATGATTGTGTAAATCCTAGATAAGATTTAATTCTAGTTATCTTTTCCTATTACAACTTGTATTACTTGGAGGAGAAGAAATATCTTCTCTCCCTTTACTACTATAAATAAAGCCACAATGTAGGAGGGATAACAACACATACATTCCCCTACAATTCTACAAACACACATCTCTCTCCTCTCTCCCTCTGCCGCCGGCCCTACTCTCTCTGTCAGATAAAATAGACCACAACACGTTATCAGCACGCTCCTACCGCTGCGCTTAGGAATCTGACGTTGGAGATTTTTTCTGCATCAAACCAGTTCATCCATATCATCACACAATCAGGTTCTTTCCAAACAACGGCTTTTAACTCGATATTTTGCAAGCCCTGATAGCATAAACATTCACCATGATGCATGACCCAACTTTACGTTTAACGTATTTTAGATTCTACATAAATTGTGTATGCTTCATAACCAAAATTGCTACAATTATGTGAATTTGATATTTGCCATGAATTGAATCTTACATATGTACATGCATTGAAACTATTATTTGCATATGCATCAACGTAAATATGTGATTCATTGAATTTTACATGCATATAATTATATTTGAATTGAAAAAAAAAAACATTTTTTTTGCGATTGGGACTTGGGTTCTTTCGAACCCGTGACCACCATCCTGAGGATGGGGTCTCCACGCCGAGCAGAAGAGCTTGCAGCCTTCTTCTTCCACATAAAAAAAAAAAATATATATATATATATATATTTGGGCCCTCCTGCAGAGAGCCGAGTGCAAATTTTTTTTCAGGGGTTAGCTTTTAGCGGCCCGCGTTTTTTTAGGGCCTGTTTTCTGCGGCCCTTTGCCTCTCCCCACCCCGTGAGCCTGCAACTCACCTCGAGACCCTCCATTGCCCAAATTTTTGGGCATATGTCTTACGTACCAATTTTTTTTAGCCATCCACTGCTCCATATTTTTTTTGGGTCCCAAATTTTATTCGCCTAATTATTTTTAGGCCCAATGGGTTTATAATTTTTCCCCACATTTTACTTTGGCCCGAAGTCCAAATAAATTAATTCAATTATAATTATACACCTAAAGGTTATATTTTTGCATATACTTGTTGCATATTTGTTTGCATATATATTTGTGTTTGCCTGCAGGAATATATGAACCTGAAGTTCATAATTACTTTGAAACCCAAAGTTTCTTATAAACATGCCTTGTTTGAAAACCTGAAGTTTTCACTTAAATATATCACCCATGAAAACCCGAAGTTTTTCATGCAAAATTAAACCAATACATGTCTATTAGAACCTGCATGTTCTACTCATATGTGAATGGATTGATTTTTCTCCATTACACTAACCACATCTTGTTCATCCATTTTGTGATAGGAACATGTCGAATTTGAACAAACTCGACTTCACCGCTTTGGAGGTTTCTGGAAGGAACTACCTTAAGTAGGTTCAAGATGTGAAGCTCCACCTCACTGCAAAGAACTTGCGTCCTGCTATTGAAGAAGCAACGGATGCACCTGTTGGTGAAGCTGAAAAAGCCACTGCTATGATCTTCATCCGAAGACATATCCATGACGCTCTGCAAACTGAGTACCTTGCTGAGGAGGATCCACGTGCACTATGGGTCGCTTTGGCTGATCGTTTCGATCACCAAAATGACATATTCTTGCCTGAAGCAAGACACGACTGGCAGCACTTACGCTTCCAAGACTTTAAGTCTGTGAATGAATATAATTCTGAAGTTTGTCGAATCCGATCACTTCTCAAGTTTTGCAATGAAACTTTGACTGAAGAGGATCTCCTGGAGAAGACCTACTCGACCTTCTCTGCTTCTAATATTGTCCTGCAGCAACAATATAGAGCTCAGAAGTTCACTAAGTTCTCGGATTTGATCTCTGTTTTACTTCTTGCTGAAAAGCAGAACCAGCTATTGATGAAGAATCATCAAGCTCGACCTATTGGGGCTACTGCTATGCCTGAAGCACATTATAGCACTAATCAGCACCCCAAAACGCCAAAAAGAGGCGTGGTAAGGGCGGCCAGAAGCCATCCCACCAAGGTCAACAGAGCCAAGGCCCATCCAAGGGAGGAAACAAAGCCCAGAAGCGCCCAAACCTCGCTCCCAAGGCCCCGAACTTCAAGAATAAGGGCAAAGCACCTGCCACAATGAATGACGATATGTGCTATCGTTGTGGTTCCAAGGACCATTGGTCCCGTATTTGCCGTGCTCCCAAGAAGGTTGTGGATGCATATCATTCTCGTCGTACGAAGTTTGAATCAAACTTCCTGCAAGTGGACGAACCGGAGACTACAAAGATGGAGGTTTCTGACTTTCAGGAGGATACCACTCCTATGGAAGATTAGAATCTTAGACATAGACTTATTTTTCAGTTGAAATAATACAATTGGGGCCGAATTCCACCTTGTGGCCGAACCCCACCTTGTTTTTTGGTTGATTTTGAACAATTTTCCTTTATGTTTTGGATCATTAGTTGGCGATTTATTTTGGATATTAAGTTTTTAATCCTTGAATAAATGAAATTATTTTGAATTGATACTTGTTTTTATAAAACTTTTATGCATGTGACCGATTTCAAATTAATTTTTCATTCTAGGTATGACTAGTGGGAAAGTTAGTTGTCTGGCAGATAGTGCAACCACGCATACTGTTTTGCGTGAACGCATCTATTTCACTAACTTCGTACCTAAGAATGCACCTCTGACAACCCTATCAGGCCCATCCAACCTGATCGAAGGATACGGTAAGGCACGTATAATGTTGTCCAATGGTACAATCTTGACCATTGCTGAGGCACTCTATTCTCCACGTTCCGGAAGAACGTTACTAAGTTTCAAGGACATTAGAGATAACAATTACCACGCTGAAACCCACGTAGAAAACGGAGTTGAATTTATGTGCGTAACTTCCTACGAATATGGCCAGAAGCGTATTCTAGAGAAGATGGAGCGTAACCCGAGTGGTCTGTATATTACGACCATACGCCCCATAGAATGCCACTATGTGGCCGGCCCTACCACAGGGACCGCGCACGAAATTACACTTTGGCATGATCGTTTGGGACATCCTGGACGAATAGCGATGCGCCGTATCCTCAAAACTTCACACGGGCATCCACTAACCCGAAGCTTAGGTTCGATCCATGAAATTGCATGTCAAACATGTTCTATGGGAAAGCTTATTACTAAGCCTTCTTATGACAAGATTCGTTCGAATCCTCCCATTTTTCTACAACGGATTCAGGGGGACATTTGTGGACCGATTCAACCTCCTGCGGACCATTTAGATATTTTATGGTTTTGGTTGACGCTTCTACACGTTGGTCCACACGTGTGCTTGTTGTCCACAAGGAACGCTGCATTCTCCAAACTGTTGGCTCAGGTTATCAAGCTCAGGGCTCACCACCCTGATTATCCGATCAAATCTATTCGATTGGATAATGCTGGAGAATTCACATCTAAAACTTTTGATGACTATTGCATGTCGGTTGGGGTTGAAGTTGAACATCTTGTACCCCATGTTCACACCCAGAACGGCCTGGCAGAGGCTTTCATTAAGCGTTTACAAATGATTGCTCGATCGTTGGTCATACGTACCAAGCTCCCGATCGCTGCTTGGGGCCATGCAATATTGCACGCAGCAAAGTTGGTCCGTCTGAGGCCTGTTGCGACACAACCATTTAGTGCCCTTCAGTTGGTCACCGGATGCGAACCCGACATATCGCATCTGCGCGTTTTTGGTTGTGCGGTCTATGTGCCGATCTCGCCGCCCTTACGTACAAAAATGGGGCCTCAGCGAAGGATGGGAATCTATGTCGGATAATATTCTCCTTCCATTATTCGTTACTTAGAACCTTTGACAGGCGATCTGTTTACCGCTCGTTTCGCGGATTGTCACTTCTATGAGACAGTCTTCCCGTCGTTAGGGGGAGATAAGAACGTCAACGTTCCTAATGAACGACGCGAATTATCGTGGACGACTCCCACTTTGTC